TGAATAGTTGCCCAAAAAAAACACCTGATTTAGCAGAACCATCAAGGTTTGGTCCACAGCACTCACCAAATGGAAGAATATGCCTCAACTTTGTGTTTTTCTTCATTTCATATAGCTGTAAATCTGGTAAGTCATCGGTGTAATTCTCTTAGTTCAGCTACTGCAAGTTCTTTAAGTCCACATTTAAATATCAGACATAAAAGGTGTTCGGCAGCACGGCTAGCTCTGCACTGCCCAGACACAACTGTGTGCTACACACTCTAGTCCTCTGGGAAGCCATCCCATCACCTTTACAGTATTTTTCCAAAAATACTAATAGTTGTGGTATTGACCAGTAACAAGTTGGAGGATGGAAGGGGGGGGGGGTTAATCTGCATCACTGTCCCCTAAAGACAACTTTAGTGCGTAATACTGATGGGCTGTGAAACAGAACTTGAAGAGATGAGCTGTCAACTGTGTGTCTGGGAGTTTTAACCCTGACACTATTTTGATTTAGAAATTGGGTTTAGCACTAAGTTCCAGAAAGTTGGTGGTTGACAGCTGTGGTTACTGGCAATGTGTTGCTGCTGGAAAGAACAAACATTTGTATTCATATGAATGTGTGTGTATATTAGGGGTGCTACTATCTCACACTTCGATGCTGGTTTTTCAGGGCCACGACTAGATTCAAAATTGATTTTCAATTCAGATGTATTTGATTGGTGGTTATTGCTTCAAGCAGCTTTGGGTGTGCAGAGGATCCCCATGATCTACTCTAGTTTGCTTTGCAAGACAGTGACAAAAAAGCTTTAAACATGTTTAAAAGCTTTAAACATGAATCTATACTTAGATGCAACTGTTTCATAAAAGCAAAAAGTGCACTACACATTGTCCCAAAGACTGGGTTGCTCTAGATCTCTGTGCCTCGTGTGTTGTTGCCCCTCTGGTCATTCTGGTTATAGCACGGGCAACCTGTCTTTTAGTCTCTGGGTAAAGTGGTGGCACAACGGTGCCAGTGGAAAAACTTATGGAATAGTGTGGCATACCTTGGCTCTGCTGTCTGCAACATACAGATGAGCCCTTTGTTCTCTGCGGTCAACAAAGATGAGACTGTTGAATATCTCTTTGATTTTTGCAGGTTCCTTTAGGTTTAGGACTTTCTGCTCAGAACCAGCCGCATGGCTACTTCAGGACATCTTACGTAGTTCTAAAATGGAGGCCAACAGTGGGCATATTTTGGTTACTTTCTTGTTTTTTTTAATCACTTTTGAGAAATTTTATATAATTTCAGAATCGTAGTAACTAAAAATCACGATTTTTATGAGAATCGTTTTTTCTTTTTATTCTTTATTTATTTTTTGGCCACACTCTTAATATATAAACACAAGTATGGTTGTCTGTCTGTATGTGTGTTTATATAAATATATATTTTTACATATGTATGTGTGTGTGTGTGTGTGGCTACACATGTGCAAATATGTCTATATATTTTTATGTAGGTGTATTTGTTTATGCATACATCCCACACATAGGAAATACAAAATTCCAATATGTGTTAACACAGGCAGCCCCTTCCACTCTGATGCTAACTTCCCAGTTTTATTTTGCCTGTGTCATTGCTTTGTGAAGCTTTGGCTCTGTGGCACCACCAAGTGCTGGGGAAGAGGAGCTGTCTGCGGGTGTGAAGTGCTCCTCCACTTCTTGCTGAAAGCACCCTGCAGTAGCTGCATGGTGATTCTGCTCCCTATCTTTCCTCTGCATCATGTTTACCTAGCAACAAGCATCACCCGCGGCTGGCCATCCTATTGGTCATTTGAAAACGCACCGGGGACCAATCACAGGGCTGTTGCCATGGTACAGTGTGTAGTTGCCGGGTGGAATTTTGCTGCAAGGCACGTGAGTGTGTGAGTCTGCTGCCTCCCCTCTGCTGCCGCTGTAATCTCTGCTGTCTGGCCGCTAGTTCAGCTGAACAAGATTTAGTGGAAGCCAATGAGTAAGTCCGTGAGGGGAAATACTAAATCTTATTACCATATCCACTAATACAGCCATATCAGTATGAAATAGACATTAACCACAGACATGAAAAAAAGGAATGGGCCAAACGGAGAAGCTGAAGCTGGTGCTCCTCGAACAAGGTTTCAGAGCTGCCAGAGGAACGTTTGGAGGCTCTCAGTCAGACTGATCAAAATATTTCTGACTTTGCACAACTTGATTCAGCTGCTGTAGCATTGTTAAAACAATTTAGAATTCTGACTTGTGAATAAAGTGAAGCACATCTTGGCCACCCAGGTCTGAGGCTCCTGTTGACAGCTGCCTCCCACAGAGCACTGAGGACAGGAAATGCTTCTTTATTTCCTGCACCAGTGGGCTGCTGCTAGGGCTGCTGCATTTAAGAATGCAAATTCTTTGTAAATTTAAAATACAAGCATATGACTTGTGCTGTCTGCTTGTTTAATGGTTCATCTCAGAAACGAGCGTTCCCACGTGCTGAGAGGCCTTTTATGGCCACCGGTTACTGTAATCCATGCGGTGATGAACGTAGACCTGCTCTCAGGCACAGACAGAGAGCAGCCAGCCCTCTCAGGCTCAGCCTGTCCTGCCCCCGGTGCTACAGAACCTGCTCATCTGTAGGTCAGAACGGGGAAAACTTTTTTCCAGCAACTCAAATGTATTCCAGTAACTGTAGTGTAGCAGACAATGTGGTGGTGTACAGCACATTACTGAGAGCAGGCGTGTTCCTGTACAGCAGACGCTGCCCATTCCACATGTGTAGGCCGGGTCAACCACCTGATAACATCCCAACTGACCCTACACATATCATGGGAGATTAATCCAGTTGCATATTTACAGTTTTCCCATTTTGCATCATGACATGGGTCATTTGATGCAATACATATGTGCAGTTTGTTTGCTCAATCTGGGTTATAGAAAGTTTATTTTTATTGGCTAAAAAAGAAAGAAAACAAAAAATATATGGAAAATGAATTGGTTACAACACAGATTGGAATACTGTGCGGTTTTGCCAAGATGGATTCAAAAGTCTAAAAGTAGACTTTTGAATCCATCTTGGCAAAACTGCCAAGGCTGTTTTAATTATTTGGATTGGGTGGAATATAAAGTACCACACAGATGAACTCTGTGATGTAAATAAAGTGATCTGAAAAATCAGTATCCTACTCATGTATTTGTATTTGTCACAGAGGAACACCTGATATGAGGACTGTTCTGAATCTGCTTTCTGCTGCTTTAAGCCCTTAAATTCAAAACGGTTAAGAATTCTTTTCTGCTGTTTTGATTTCATGAAAGTGCCACGGCTTCCCAACACAAACGCAAAGTGCATCTTTGTTTCTGAGCCGGCTGCAGGCAGAGCAGTGTTAGTGGCCATAGCTCGGCCATTTGTGCTCCAACAGTGAATACATTCTCAGCTGAGTGCCATTTTAGTGCAAAATCAGAATCAACAGGGCTATCTTAGCAGTTTTTGTAGAACATATCACAGATATTGGGAATATTGCTGAATAAAGCTATGCTTTACAGCCTCGTGTGTGGAAGCAAGTGCTTCTTTATTTGACTAATTTTCATTAAGTTTCAATCCAAAATGCCCCCTGTGCTGTATTTGACATTTTTTTTGACAGATTACATTAATGTGAGTTCTATGAAAATGCACTTCATCACATATATGAATTAAGGGGATGTAGCATTTGAGGTTACCAAGGGGAGAATTTAGTCTTACTGAATTTACATTTGGATTTTTTGTCCATGCGGCTTAGCTCTATGGGTCTTTATTTACAGTATCAGTTGTTCCCTGCTTAGGCATAGATCACAGTAGTAAACACGAAGTTAATTGTACTATGAAAACAAAGGAGTGTTGTTCAGTTTCCTACGCTGACCACAGCTAAAGCGGCTATCTATACCGCTCCATTACAGTTGATTACGCATGACTGATTACAGGTAGGCGTCACGTTTAAGTGAAGAAAGGGCTCGGTGGATGTGAGTGGATGTGAGTATGAATAGGTGAGTTCTCCTTTAAGCGGCTGGCAGCTGCTGTGTGACACAGAGAGCTGTTCCCAGGCAGCATTGTGCCTGATTTAGCCCCAATGCTCGGATAGGAACAGCTAGCTTTGGCGGGGTTGTGGGCAGAAGTCAAACATCTCAGCTGTACAGAGTCACTCAGCTCATGTGCTTGAAGAAGCCTTTTGCCCTGCCCCCCCCCTCTCCCACCCTGGGTGAATCTCCACCCCCACCCCGGCTGTCTCCACGTCCTTCTTTCCATTTCTACCTGACATTTCCGCGTCACTCCTAACTCGCGCCATTCGAACAGACACAGGGAAACTGAGCCCAACTCCCCTCCCACAAACCTTCCCGTTACCCAATCACAGTCAGGGACGCAACTTTCAGCAGCCAATCAGGTGCTAGTTGCCTTGGCGTCGGGTAGCAACAGAGCTATCGGAGGGTGCGTGCTGAGTGTGAGGTAGGCTGCCCCGGACAGCGTCCACACTAACAGACCCCTCAAAGGCGGAACAAAGTGAGTCTGTGTGACTTGATAGCACTGATTACATGAAGTGTCCCCTTATGTTGCTTGGGGTAATTTAGAGTTGGAACAAAAATAAAAAAGTCTTTGACATGAAGAAAAGAGACTTATCCCTCCCCTAAAACTAACTCTAGTACACGCACACACCTTAGTGGCGCTTGTGGAAGAGGACCACGATATGTCTCACAAAGAAAACTATAGTTAACTGCTTGGCCTGTTTGTATAGAAAAAAAAAAGGTTTCCTTGAATGCTATGATGTCGAACTTTAGACTTTGTCGCGGAGATCGAAGCTGTCAGAGCTGTACGAGCGTGGCGTGAAATAATCTGATGTCAAAACAGTTTCTATGCGATTCTTTAACGGTGGCAGGAAAGATTGTCCATGTATGCCTGTATATAAAGTTCCAGTATATATATCCCGCTGTTACTATAAATGGACAGAACGGGAGAGGTTGCTTGGAAGAGACCACTGCGGTCAGAGGGGGGGGGGGTACTGCTGTTGATACGGTCTAATAAGGTCATTTGGTAACCAAACGGTGACTGTGTGAGATTTCAGGTAAAGCTCTGCGGTGCTCGTGTTTTTATTCATTCCCGCTGTCTATCTGTCGCCGTTTGCCGGGAAATATGTGAAGCTACGTCGACCCTTCGTCAGCAGTGGTGCGGTCCTCCTCGCAGGGTGGGGGAGCCGTATGGGAGAACAGCACAGATTCCGTCCACGGCGAAGCAGGGAATGGGAAACGGGCGAGAAACATGACTCAAATCGCCCCTGCGAAGGGTTCCAGCTCGAGGGACTAAAGTAGTTTCCTCCAGTTTGGATATACAAACACATAGGAGGACGTTAAGTGCGAGAAGATAGCGGGGAATGACGGAGAAGAGGCCGTCAGGAGGCGTGTGACAGTCAGCTCAGGAACTTCGGATGTGTTTCTTTTGTTTACTTTGAGGCATCTCTGGTTTCTTCTTCTGTGCCAGTTGTGAGTGAATTTACCTGAGTGGGATTACTACAGAGGCTGACTCGCTCGTGGATTGTCTGATGTTTCTGTGAGCCGGAGTTCTGCGAGATCAGCGCCGGCTGACGGGGGGTCGCCCTCGGCATGTGCCCGGCCCGGCCCGGGCTCTGGAACTAACGTCCGGCTCTGTTGGCTCCCACGTTCATCCCCGGGGGGACGGGTGCAGTGCCCAGTCTGTTTGCTCCCGTAGGCACGTGACAGCAGGGGATCTGAGTAGTATCAACAAGTGGCTTTGGATTGGTCTGTTTAGGTTTGTGTACCGTTTCTCAGCTAAAGTACTGTTTTACACGGGCACCGAGCAGCCCCACTCTGCGTGAGACCGAGGGACGGGACGCTTCCCCGGGCTGGGAGCTGCGGCAGGGCAGCTTCTGGTAAAGTACCAGCGCAGGGCTGGTTAACTTGAGATAACATTACCCCGCTCTGTCCAGCAACCAGTCCCCCAGAACGCCACAGTAATTGGAGCTATTTTTAGTGAGAGGGATGGGGTAAAAGCAGGCAGCTGGAAACCTGACTCCCCTTCACCTTTTCTCTTCCTCCCCTCAGCTACTGCACCTCTGACTCAACCCACTCGGCAGAATGCCGGGCAAGCTTGGTTAACACTCTTAGAACTCATTCGGAGCAAATTAGGGTGTCTTAAGCTTAAGCGGAAAACAAATGACCCTCACATTTGGTTGAAAAACTCTGGACCCGACATCCACTATGTAGCTGGAACCCGAGACACTCTGTGGTCTTTGGTGAAGGCTGCATTCAATACACAATCCCTGTTCTCATCACGACAAAAAGATGGTTCAAAGATTAGCTGTGTGAGCTTTGTTTATGCTGCCATGGACACAGTAAACATATCAGAAGCAAGTGGATTCTTTGTGTTTATCCCTTAAGAGACTGTTGTCTGAGTAGACCCAGATTAGGAGAGAGGCTTCTTGTGATTACCTGAGAAACCCCCCGCCGGCGATCTGGAACCTCCAGCCACACACAAAATGCATGAAACTGCCTAGTCCAACACAACAAAAAGCTAACCTGACAAACCAAATATTCTATTTTCCTTCTATCCCCATATTCCCAGAGAAACAGATTATATATGTAGAGTGAGAGATCTATATCTATAGTGTAATTCCACATAAACAGAGTTTGCCTCCTTTATATTTTTACTTCAGAGAGACAAGCTGCCTGTACACCAGTTGGTTGCCTTAGAAACCCGTCACAACAGAACAGATAACAAACAAAGCCAGAGAAGAAGGTGCCTTTTGATTGTTTGCTCACTTTCCCACCATTTCAAGCTCCATTTCTTTAGTTGGATGTAAACTGTTGATGTGAACTCTGGGATTGCAAACACTCCAATGACAGTTACCTGAGCCCCTTTTGAGCCCTGCTGACGTTTCAGAGCTTTGCGTTTGCCTGTCATTTCCCTGCTGGACTGAACACTTGCCAAGCTTTTCCATGGTTGTGACATCATCATCCGTGGATGACAAGACTGTACCCCCCAGCAGGATGGTCCAGTCAGAGCCTTGGATCACCTCAACCCTGCTTCGCAAGAACAAGAGTTAGTACACACAAAATACACTGGCAGAGCTCATGCACACTCCTCTCTGTCTCCTATCATGTTCAGTGGTACGCTGTGGGTGGCTTCTGTATGTTTGTTCTCTTGATTGGAACTTTAGTGAGCATATATCATCATAAGAATCATCCATCCATCCACCCATTTTCATAACCTCTTATTCCCTAATGGGGTCGCGGGGGGACTGGAGCCTGTCCCACTGGTCAATGGGCAAGAGGCGGGGTCACTCTGGACGGTCCCCAGTCCATCACAGGGACACAGCTTAAGAATCACAGATGGTCTCATTTTCTATCTTGTCCTGATGAGCATCAGACAGGTTAGTGGAGAGAACTGCGTCTGTGAAACAGGCTGTTTCACACACCTACTGGTACCTCGGTGGGAGGAGACAGTGCGGGTCATCCTGTAAAGAGAAGGTCAGTGGTTCAGCCCTGCCTCCTCTGGTCAGCAGGTCAAGATGTCCTCAGGCAACAATCTGAAGCCAGAAACAGGCTGGTGTGTCATGGCTGTGTGAATGAGAGTGTGTTTGATAGTGTGCAGAACAAAGGACTGCTGATACTGATATGAGTTTTAAAGTGAACTGTAAGGCAGAAGCCTCTCTACACTGACCGGAATTTTGTAGAAGAGATTCTGATCATATTTTGAGGCTCAGCAGTGTTTGGGTTTTCTCTTTCATTGGGTTGTGAACAGATTGAGTTGTACAGTTGTCGCTACTGCACCCTTGCCCAAAAACAAAGTGTAGACAGCAGCTCTGAAGCAGGCTCCATGCAGATGGAGCTTCATCTGGAGCTCATCATGTGCTGTAACTCTGCTGTTAGGGTTGGGCAGCACTCTATTGTTCATAGGAAAAGGCTTATGCAGAAACCAACTGAGGAAAGGATTGCAGGCCCCAGTGTTCATGAGAACATGTGGAGCTGGAGTCCAGATAGCTCCAGGAAGGCTGTAGAAATGAATGGTTTGGGGGTCACAGGTTGTACTTAAGCACTCCTCAGTGGCTGCTGTTATTGGAATGAGCACACTGACCGTCTTAGGTTTCAGTTGGGCCTGGTTCAGGACTGTTCTCTGCCAGTCTCAGGGCAGGCTCTGCTCTGTAACTCACAGCCGTCAGCATGTTCTTGCTGTTTTCTGGAGCTCATATGCTACTTTTAAAGCTTTCTTCCAAAGGAAGTCCACTCATCTGACTGAGCATTATCAGGTACTTCTGATGCTTTTCCACTAGTGTCCACTCAGCTCAGGCTCAGCTCTACATGGCATTAATACATTTCCACGTGGGGCTGGCCCCACTTAACAGTTCCAGTTTCAGCACCTACAGTCCATCAGGGCTGAGGGGGCCATGGGGGCTGCCGGGCACTGATTGGCCAGACTCACAAGATTAGATAGTGACTCCTTCAGGTGAACCTGCTTATTTTAAAAACAGGGCATGGACAAACACCTGATGTTATTATTTCTGTGATCACAAACATTGTTAATGTTTAATAGAGGAACTGACACTGAGCTCTTCTGGTTGCAGTTGCCCCCATGTCCCTGTTTGTTGTCCCCTGCTTGTGTCAGCTATGAATGACTGGGCCCCAATTTTGAAGGGAAAACCACCCAAGCCGTGTAGAGCCGTGCCGGGCTGAACCGTGCTGAGTAGGCTCCAATGGAAAAACGCCATTAGAGCTGTTGACAAATCAGCAGTGTATGCATCAGTGCTTCTTTACCACCTGCTTACTAAGGCCTGCTCCAGTTTCTCTGTGAGCCGCAGCTGGAGTCAAAGCAGGAAGCAGACCCGGGTCCCTTTAGCATGTTTTTGTAAGTAAGCTCATTTTCCATTTCCTGGGTGATGCTGACCTCTCGTCTTGCTCTCTCATTGGCTGTTGCTGCTCCAACAGGCTGCTACAGAGTAGGAGTCAGATTGTAATGTTGTGGTGGAAGCATTGGTGATGGGACAGGGGACGGGACGGGGTGGTGGGACAGTGGGCAGGGTGGAGGACAGGGGGCAGGGTGGAGGACAGGGTGGAGGACAGGGTGATGGAACAGGGACCCTGGACAGGCCCGTCCCCTTTTCCAGGGTGATGGGACATGGTGACTGGACAGGGGACGGGGCACTGTGATGGGACAGGGGACGGGACAGGATGGGACGGGACTGGACAGGATGGGGCAGGGTGACTGGACAGGGGACTGGACAGGATGGGGCAGGGTGATGGGACAGGATGATGGGACGGGGAGGGGACAGTCTTCACTTGCAGTAACACAACAAATGAGCAGCTTGACCTGACGGGGGTCTGGCGGCTGAGTCTGCCGGGTGCCCCGCCCGTCTGGGTGTGGCTGCTGGAGACGGGTGGAGCTGGAGCCACAGCCTCCTCCGCTGTGCCACAGAGTAGAGGGACAGTGGCTGTGTGTTTTCACACCGTCTAGCTTTTTTGACTGGAATGCTGGACAGCATGTGGTCCATAGCTCCTTTGCTGTGCTGAGCTCCAGTGGGCATGTGTTCATCGTTTTGGGGGCTGCTCAGACGTTCACAGGACTAAAGCTCACAGGGGAAGAGCTCTGACAGTTTGGAGAGGCCAAAGGGGGGCAGAGCAGCTGCAGACAGATGTGGATCAGGGTCTACAGCAGCTCAGTCCAGCTATTCTGATGGCCTTTAAGAGGGCCGACTAGCCTGATCTTTAGAATAAAGCCCCCCCTGTGCGCTTCTACCTGATCAGCTGCTGTCGGGGCTGCTCTCCTCGTGGTTTCATGTGTGGGGTGCTGTGCAGGTGAGAGGGAAGAAGGCTGCCCGGCCTTCAGGATCCCATGTGACCCGTTGTGTCTCCGGCTGGCCCCTGCACACACGGCTGCAGCTGCTGTCATTCACAGGCTCTTCTGCTGGCTGGCCTGGGGGTGCCATCTCCCTCCAGCTCTGTCTTCAGGAGTTTATTCATCAGAACGGAGTGGCCAGGTTATTACAACTTCTGGTGACCTTTGCAACTTTTCCACTAGTCAATGAGTTTTTTTTTTTGCATTGCTGTTGGGTGCCTGTAAACTGTTGGACATTCTCAGCTGGGGTTCTCAGCCAGCTGAGTGAGGCTCAACATAAACTGCAGGCCACTAATTGTCCAAAGAGGGACATTACTGGATGAGTCATGTGAGCAACTCCAACCACGAGGTCCAGCTGGTATGTCATGCCCTAGTCTCCTCCATTTGTCTGTCATGTGTATGTTGGTCCAGATAAGGTGAGACGCTGTGCAGGCCTTTTGGCTGTTTCACTTGTAATGAAAAGCCACCTAAAAGCCGAGGAGAGTCGAGCTGGGTAAGACGCATAGCTGCTAATGGCTAGCTCATCAGGCTGAGCACTGTCAGGGTGTCTTTGTGATGCAAACAGGCTTGTTTTGATAATCACAGGAATCCCCCAATCGAATTTAAAAGTCCAAAGACCATGGACAGAGCATGTGGACTGCATCCCTACGGCCACTGGGCATGTGAGGGTCTGCTGCCCAGTCTGAGCAGCAGCGCAGGCAGCCGCTGGATGTCTGCTCCTGTGTGTGTTGACTGTGTGTGATGAAAGTGGAGCCCTGCTCAGGTTTGTCCAGAGGGACAGGTGAGTGACAGTGAGTAGGTCCATGTGCTGGGCCTCGGGTGGAGGAGTAACAAAGTCCAGCCTGGGGAAGTAGATGGCGCTCTGCCAGGCTTCAGTTTTGGATGACCAGATGATCAGCAGGGCCTGCTCCTTCCTGTGCCCTGACTGTCCCCACCGCCCCCCCCCTCAGTGAAAGCAGGGGTAGCAGCGGGGGCCAGCCACGTTTTGGCCGTGGCTCTGAACGTGTGGACGTTACAGGCTTCAGTAGATCCTGAGGCCTGGGATCACCATGGGTTTCACTATTGATCCTTCATTTAGGGCTAGGATTAGCACAGCTCGCTGCGCCCTCCATGGACACAGGTGCTGTGAGGTGAGACAGAACGGGGATGTTTGAACTAGAGCCTCCCAGAGCCCCGTGGACACTCCACCTCTTACTTATCTCTGCTGTGAGAGCTGTTTGACCGTGTGTCTGGCCATGTTTGCATTTTGAATGTCTGATTTCAACTGGTTTTTCTCCACCGCTCCATCTCCAGCTGTATTCCTGCAGAATGTCTGCCAGCAGCTCCATATCAGCCTAACTACTCAAACAGCTCAGATAACAACAATTGGAGCTTTTTCTGTATCCTGAAGACGTGTCCTCTCCCTTCTGGACCTCCCTAAGTAGCTGAAGAACAGCTCTGAGGGTCACTATGACCCGGAGGCCTGGGAATGGACTACGATACACTGATTGATAGTACAGCAGCAAGGACGAGACAAAGCTGTACAGAGGGAATTTCAGTAGTGGTGTTTTTTATAAAGGCCCCACACCTTTACCAGAGGTGTAACTGTGGCCTTCTTGGACCCACTTCAGGACAGGCCTCCTTACCTGAGGTGCCGGTGGATGTGGCTGTTGTGCACAGGACTGAGTGCTGCTGGTGGAGCGTGCTCCTGCTCCGGGAGGTGGGCGTGTGGCCGGTGGGCACCAGCTCACAGGCTGCAGCGCCGTTTGCCCTCTGATGGCAGCAGGACTGCACTAAGCTCCTCAGCAGACGGAGCGATGGCCAGGTCGTCTGCCCCGGGCATCTTTAATCCTACCCTGGTCACTAGCCATGGCTCGTCCCACCAACCTCCTCAGCCCACGTCTTCTCACGTGGGTCAGTGACAAGAAATCTGGCTTCAGAGGTGTCAGACCCTGTGACCTGTGGCATGGATGGAGGGGGCATTTCACCACTCATTGGAAAGTCCTGCTAAATGCACTCCTGTGTCAGGGAGCTTGGAGCTGATGGTGGTGCTCAGAGTGCAGACATCTGATGTGGTAACTGCCCAGACTGAGCTTCTGGGGGGGATTTTTTTGGACCCCCAGGTATGGTCTTATCCAGTCTTGGCCCTCAGTTTGTGCCAGCTTCTTCTGTTGCTGGGCTGGCTGCTGTGGATCAGCACTTTGTAGCCGCCCCCCACCACTGATGAGAGAGAGAGAGAGAGAGAGAGAGAGAGAGAGAGAGAGCAGAGGGGTCTTACTGTGACAGGCCGAGCAGGGATATGGGTTGATAGATGGATAGATAGAAAAGGCAAGGAGAGAGCAGATTGCGAGGTTTAGGTAGCGGGGAGGATGGGGGAGGAGAAAGAGGCTGGTAGGGTGGGTTGAGTTGCTAGGGGAGAGTATGTCAGACTGTTGCTGAGAGCCAGGCCTGCTATTGGAAGCCACTTGCTTAGCAGGAGAAAAGCAGAGGAGAAGAGAGAGAAGTAGCTAATGAGTATTGTGGCCTGGTTGCTGAGACAGCACCGGGTTTATTTATAGAGTGATGGCCAGTCAGCCCTTAGATACCAACAACGAATGAGCTGACAGAGAAGGAGCTGGCTTTAACCAATAGCAGTGCAGGAGGGGCAATGCCAGATTGAGGAAGTGCTGTGAGTGCCTCTCCGTCTCTTAAAGAGCCCGTGCAGCTTTCTCAGCACTAGGCAGATACTGTGTGTCTCCAGCAGCGTGCTGTGTGAGAGCCAGCAGGGCTCCAGCACCACAGCGGCCCCCGGGGACACGGCTTTCTCTGCTCCCCCCGCCTGATCACCCAGCAGAGCACATGCACACACCTGCTGCTCAGACTGGGCCAGAGCTGCTGAGCGTGTTTAGCCACACGCTCACACTCACGTGCTAAAGCAGCTATTTGCAAAGAGATGTGAAGTAACAGTTAGTTTGAGAATAAGCAGCTCCTTTTTCAGCCGCTCTGCTCTGCTTGTTGCTGTTTTGTGTGTTCCTGCACACAGAACCCTCAGCGTGGACCTGAGCCTGACTTGGCGGCTCTGACCTGTAATGTCATCAAACAAGAGAGCAGCTCTGAGGCTTGTGTCCATGGCTCAGGAAGCAGCGGGGCCTGAGCTGATGCCTGTGCCTTCGTTACTTCATCTGAGCAGGAGGCTGTGCAGGCCTGACCTGCTCCTGCAGGGCTCCGTCTCCTGCCTACTAAGTGTTGATGTGTAATCACACATGTTACAGATTTTCCCACATATACACCTGATGTGGACTCTGTTGGGTGCCTTCTATTAGCACCCACCCCGCCCTACATGGCTCGGTTTAGGTGGTCTTCTATTACAGAATGTGGCCGGCGGGTCCATGGCCTTATTTAGACTCACAATAAGCAGGAGACAACAGTCAGGACCACGCTGGCCCCTGTGCACCGGCTAAACCTCTGCATCGCTCCCTGTGTGTGGCAGAATCACACAAATAATGAAACCGGGTGTTAGCCGTTGCCCTGTTTTTAAAATAAGCTGTCACTATCTAATCATGTGAGCCTGGCCAATCAGCGCCCGGCAGCCTGCCCGCGCCCCCCCCAGCCTGCCCGCGCCCCCCCCTGCCCTGACGGACCCGCGCTGACACCAGTGGAGAAGTCCCACATCAGAACTTATACAAACCAGGCCAACACGGTCCCTTTTAGGGTTTCATGACATGAAGAGCTCAGTGGTGTTGCTAAGGAGAGTCCCAGGCTCCTTAAGGACAGATTCCAGTGGAAGTGGGTCTGTGAGTCGGTACATGAGATTTGGTGGTGAGTCACCAACATCCAAAAATCATAAGCTCATGAGCTGGCAGAGTTACAGGGTTCCATAACCCTGACTGTACAGGTCCATTCCAACTCCTTCAGGTCCAGGTCTTAGCCCAGGTTCCTCATTGTTCTGATGCTCTAGCTAGACTTTCAGTTCCATCAACAATGGGATATGAGTCAGAATGTGATGTTAGAGAGGTGAGCAGTGGTGAAGGGCTCTCTGACAGGCTGCTGGGAATCACTCTGCTCCTTCTTGGCCTCTGAAACAGAGCTCCTGCATGTTTCTTTTGTTTCCATTGACTCATCGCCTCACCTGCTCTGCTCTGTGTTGGTGAGGAGGCGGTAGTCACAGTGATTTGCTGCTAGTGAGCTGTGTGAACAGTGTGAACAGGCAGATCCATAAGCAGCCAGCAGCAGTGAGTGGTGGCGGCCTTAGTCCTGACTGGCCAGCACGCTTTGGCAGCCGGTGACCGGTTACACTGGTCAAAGAGCACCAGAGAGCACTACGCCGGCCCTTTGCAGCATCACGGGCACACCAAGAGACTCAAATACCACCGAAAAGCTTTCACACCCCTCGTGTAGGGGGGGTCTTCCCCAGCCGGCCGTAGCATGCACCAGCTCCGTGCTCCCACAGGAAGCCTCTCCGTGCACAGCCGTGCACCAGCGGTAGGACGGGACATGGTTGTCTGGCAGTTTGCTGACAAATACGGTCAGGCTGCCGTAGCGAGGCGTGTGAGCGTGCCGGGCGTGCGGGGCTGTGCATCGGGGGGGGGTGCTGAGAGGCTGTGCTGCTAATGGAGCAGAGAGGTGCTGTTAATCCCAGCCGCTTGGCAGCTGATGGTGTATCAGATTAGCTCACCTCTGATTCAGACAAGCCTGGCTTCTGTCTCACAGAGCACCATGAGGGACATTCAAAGCTGCCAGCAGCAGGCCTTTGGCTGGGAGCCCATGTGGGAGTCCCGGGGGGACACTGTAGGAGCTGTGGCTGTGCCCCTGTCAGCAGCAGCCCCCCCTGTGTTCCCCTGTGGTCAGCCCTGTGTCTTGGACCTGGGGCTGACTAATGGCATGACTTGTTCCAGAGCCTCCTATCAGGACATTCTTCTCCAGTGCCTCTCTGACCTGATTTCTGCTAATAGCATTAGCTAAATCTTCTGTCTGTGGCAGATTTAGAGGCTGGTTTGATGGAGAAACACAAAATGACGAGTGAAAGCTCTGATAAGTCACAACTGTGGGCTGCTGTTTGTAACCTCACCATTCACACTCGCCTGCCCCCCCTGGCTCAGAGGGAGCAGCCACAGCAGGTGGGGGCCTGCTCCTCTGCCTCTGTGGAAGCTAGCAGGCGTAGCTCAAAACATAGCCACTCATTACTTCTGTGCCTTTGTTTGTCATGTCATGCATTTCCACTGTGCGCCTCAGCTCAGTTTACTCTGTCTCAGGGTTTAGCCAGGTCACAATCAGGCCCGCTCCAGCCTCCAGCTGAGCTTCCATGTCCATGCACGCAGCAGGAGTCCTGGGCCAGGGCCACTGAGACTCCAGCCCACCCCCATCCGGCCCATTTCAGCCGGGACTAAATGCCCAGCAAGATCTTTTTGTTTGTCTTTGTTTGTAGTTTTGTGTGGAATGAGTGCGGCCGCTGCCATCCAGCCGTGTCCTCTCCACGGTTGGATCTCCACAGTGAGGCCCGGCCAGTCCCACACAGAGCTCAGAGCTGTGTGCCAGAACCTTCCGTTGGTTGTGTGTGCTGATGACCTGCAAACGCCACTGATATTTCTGCACTAAGACGAAGGGACCGTGACGTAGCAACACCCTGCTGCCCGCTAACCTGACCAGAGGCACACGCGCTGCTAACCCTGGGTTACGGGTGTGGCTGTAGTTTGAGGGGGGGGGGTGCACAGCTGCCCGGGCTCCTCTGAGGGCCTCTGCTGGGACTGTGTGACTGGGGCTGAAGCACAGAGCACAGGGGATAGACGCTAAGCCTGTCCCTTCTCTCTCTCAACAGGTGGAAGCAGCTCAGGATGTCCGCCCACCTCCTCCTCCTCCTCCTCCTCCTCCTCCTCCTCCCCCACTGCCCAGGGCTTCTCCCTCGCTGAGCCAGCCATGACCAGCCAGCACACACATACACACCCCTCCTTCAGCTCCATCCACTCCATGGCCGAGCAGCAGCAGGTAACACACACACAGCCAGCTTCAGTCACTCTGTCAAGACATTGCTGTTTGACTATTGAAACTCTAACTGGGTTTATTAAAAGGAGTGCATGTCTGAGCTCCAGGTCCCCTCCTTCTGTTGGCACAGGGCAGGCTTTAGGGGGTCAACCAATCAGACTGTGTTAAGTGGAACCAGCACAGCCACAATGAAACAGACAAGTGGAGAAAATGCCACTGAATCCTAGCAGAACCTCTCTGTGTGGTTTCCAAAACGTCTGGAACTCCAGGAGCATGACGTGAGCAGGGCTGTGTGCCTGTGGGTGCGAGGAGGAGCAGCCTCAGCGGCTGAATGGCTAGTTTAGAGTATTTATTGCTGTTTAATGTGAGTGGGAGCGTTGCCAAAGGTCTGTGTGAAAAGCCTCCACCAGCTTCTGTGTGCTGTACTGCTTTGTTGTTCCTTTTAGCAGCCAGCTACCTGTGAAGCTGTGCATCACACACTGCTGCCTTGCACGCTCTCAGGCCTCCTGACATGCTGCAGGGCTCTTTGTTTCTCTGCTCTGGTGCCCCAGCTCCAGTTTAGCCACCCACTGATCCTACGGTGCTCCGTCTACTGATGTTACGTCGCCCCAGGTGGGATCCCAGTGTCCTTTAACTGCCAAACGACTCTGGCTCAGTGTGGAAAAGCCATTTCTGTAGCCTGAGAGGGGCTAGCTGTAGTTCCCAGCACCTACAGGCTCCAGGGGATGAGGCTTCTGATAGGTATGGGCAGGTAATCATTAGGGTGCAGGGCCTGTGAATTAGGGGGTGCACACATCCAGAGCAGATTTCAAGTGTTGCTTACAGTTAGCCTGCATATCCAGCTCATTCAGGTTCCAGTGCTGGAAAGGGCCCTTCCAATGGCTCCGGGTTGGGCTCCAGCAAAGGCAATGCCATGACAATCTTCAACCCCACGGTGGTGTGTAGCATAGCAGCAGGCTGCAGCTGTTTCCCACTGATGGGAATCAGTAGAGTCTACCTGTAGTTTGTTCTGAGGGTTTTCTCAACAGCTGATTGGTCAAAAGTTTGAAGTGGGCATCAGCACCATTCTTAGATAAGAGTAGTGTCCCTGGTTGACCGCCCCCCACATCTACTGTGTGGGGTAACCTTTAATGTGCCCACTTGTGGTGTCATGTTTTCTAATGTTTGCTTGGTTTAGCTATAGCAGAGCTCACTGTCTGATTGGATGGCCACGTAGAGAGGCTGACCTGAGCATCCTCTCAGAATCTGTCCTCCCCATGCCCTCAGTGTAGACATTGAGCACATGCGTGTGAGCGGGCAGTCAGGAAAAGCTCTTTCTGCCCACAGCCGTGGCTCCATCTCTGGAGGATTCGGTCAGTTTGCTTTAGCTGCAGGCTGACGGAGCTCTGTCTCTGACGTAGGCTGCTGCATACCACACTCCACCTAAACTACAGGAGGAAGACAGGGAAAATGGTATTAGATGGCTGTCCTGGTGTGTGTCTTCACAAACATTTCTGCAACAAGTGGTGTGAAACGGCCACTACCGGTGAGGGAGGGGCGGCGGGACCTGGAGGATAGCACAGTGCTGATTTCAGCAGGGGTTGTGTGCAGCATTTGCATCAGGTGTAACCCGTCCAGGTGCACACGCTCAGCATCAGGAGGTAAAAAAATAGACCCACTCCAGTGTATTCCGCTGTCTGACAACAGGGAAACTCCTTTCCTTTGTCCCCATTCTAAGTGACCGACTGCAGAGGGAGCTAGATGTGAGTGGCTGTTGGTGCTTCTGTTTGTTAAAACCGCCCCTCAGCCTTTGCCCTGTGACCCAAAAGCCTCTGTGTGAATGAGAGCCATTTCCACTTCATGGTGCAAGTTGAAGTAGAAAACACAGCGAGTGTTGTTTTTAGTGGTTCAGCAGGTATGTCCGTGAGCAGCCTGCTGCTGCTGTGTGTGAGCTGCTGGCTTTCTGTGCAGGTGCTGTCTGATATGACCATACTGCAGCGGAGGATCCCCCCGAGTTTCAGAGACCCTGCCAGCGCCCCACTGAGGAAACTCTCTGTCGACCTCATCAAAACTTACAAGCACATCAATGAGGTATGGCATTAGAAAAAGATGGCGCCACACACCCTGAAGACCAGTCAGTCCACACACACAGCACGGCCGCTCCACGCAGAGCACAGGCCCCCCAATAGTGCCCGCTGCTGCTGTCCAATCCGCTGGACTCTCACATGGGGGGATCTGTCCAGGGCAGGCTCAGCAGATACAGGGGGCTGTGTCCGGCTGTGTCCAGCTGAAGGCCTGCAGCTCTGTGTGTGGAGCAGCCAGTCACATCCTCACACACACCCCCTCTGGGGGCGGGCTGCAGGTCCAGGCCTAACGCGTGTCTCCCACACAGGTGTACTATACCAAGAAGAAGCGGAGGGCCCAGCAGGTCCCTCCTGAGGATAGCAGCACGAAGAAGGAACGAAAAGTTTACAACGATGGCTACGACGATGACAACTACGATTACATTGTGAAAAATGGAGAAAAGTGGCTGGACCGCTATGAGATAGACTCACTGATCGGGAAGGGCTCCTTTGGACAGGTGAGGTCATCCTGTTTCTGCAGTGATGGTGGTGATGGGCTGCTGACAGCAGACTGAGGCCTCCTCTTCCTCACTCTGTCCCCCCCCCCCCCGCTCTCCAGCTGCTGTGGTCAGACCCCTCAGCCACCGGGGCTCTGAGCCACTCTCTTTTTGAAAATGCATAGAAAAACCAGCCACAAACAGGAACCCAGATGTGCCCACAAAACCCTTTTAGACAGCAGAGACACGGGACAAAAGAATCCAGGAGTGGAGCATAGCTACAGTTAGAAGGCCTTATTCACCTGGCCTCGTCCAGCTGGGCAGAAGAGGGGTTCATGGCCTAAGTTTGGAGGGATCTGAGCCTTTCCTTTCCTGTTACTGACACTATGTCAGCGGTGCACACCTGGACTGAGGGTGGAGTGTGGAGTGTGGGATTTCCACTCCTCCAGTGGGTTCATTCCCAGCTCCAGTGGACTGGGCACTGTCAGAGGAATGTCCATGACTGTGTAAGCAGCCTAAAGGGACGAGTCTGGCTCCAGGCTGCAAAGGCCTCTTATAGTGACTGCAGCTCTAGTCAAGTGTTCAGGACCAGAAACCAGACCATGAGGAGGAAAACCAGAGCATGTTTCGATGCACACCTCCATCAGTTACAGACTGGAGGAGCAGAGGGGTGGAGGCTTTGTAAGCTGGCTCTAGAATAATCTAAGTGATGGATACTGTATTGAATCAACTGGTGTCTGCTGTTCACTACTAGCCACGCTGTAGCATGGTGGGGGGGCCACAGACCAAAGCTAAAGGCCCCTCTGTATTTTTGCTGTCAGACGTGATGAGCAGTGAATCCCAGAACGTGTGTGGGGTGGGAGCTACAGACCCCCCAACAGAACTGAAATAGAGCGGTGGTCAGAGCACTCCAGCCCGGGCCCCCAGCTGTGGGGGGGAGCAGAGTGGGATTCTGGCTCTCAGCGCCCTCAGGTGGTGGTCAGAGGAGCTGCAGGGGACGAGTCACTCCCCCCTCAGCCTCAGGGGGGGCTGCTGGGTCCATACAGCCCCCCCTGACTGCTGGACAGCCCTTTAATGGCGTTTGATGATAAAGTCTGCTGTCTTTGTTTGCAGGTGGTGAAGGCCTACGACCACCATGAGCAGGAGTGGGTTGCCATCAAGATCATAAAGAACAAAAAGGCTTTTTTAAACCAGGCACAGATTGAACTACGCCTGCTGGAGCTCATGAACAAGCATGACACTGAGATGAAATATTATATAGGTAAGTTGGGGACCGGGCCCCTCCTGTTCACACAGCCGCTCACACAGTCAGGCCCCCGTTAGGCCCCCGCTAGGCCCCCGTTAGGCCCCCGTTAGGCCCCCGTTAGGCCCCCGCTAGGCCCCCGTTAGCCTCAGCATCCACATCTGAACTCCACGGCTGAACACAGCTCCCATGTGTGCGTTTGTAATTGTTACTGAGGTCAGTCCACTCAGGTTGAGTGGGCAGCATATCCAGACTGGGACATTCAGATAAGAGAGGAAGCAGTTCCCAGGTTGTTCAGGCCTCTGCAGTAAAACTGTGACTTCCAGCCCCAAACCTCTGTGATCACAGCTCTGAGTGCTGTGCTGATGAGCTGGCCATAGTCATGACATGGGGTTGTGCTCCATCAAACCTGCGTGTTTGGTGGAGGCTGCTGGGGACACTGTTTCTGGATATACCCTAACCTTCCCTCTGTCTCCCATCTGTCTGTCTGTCTGTCTGTCTGTCTGTCAATCTCTCTGTGCAGTCCACCTGAAGCGTCACTTTATGTTTAGGAACCATCTCTGTTTGGTGTTTGAGTTACTGAGCTACAACCTATATGATCTGCTGAGGAACACCAACTTCAGAGGAGTTTCTCTCAACCTCACCAGGAAATTTGCACAGCAGCTCTGTACAGGTGGGTGAGGGAACAGGGTTCCCAGGTCAGCAGTCCCAACATAGGCTCTGCCCCCCCCCCATCAGGGCTGCAGCCAGCCCTCTGATAGATTGGGTGCACAGATGTGACTTTTCCCTTTGGCTCCCCAGCATTATTATTCCTGGCCACTCCAGAGCTGTCAATCATCCACTGCGACCTGAAACCAGAGAACATTCTGCTGTGTAACCCCAAAAGATCTGCCATCAAGATTGTGGACTTTGGGTCGTCCTGCCAGCTCGGACAGAGGGTGAGTGTTTCACACACACACACTGTCATAACACACACGTGCCCTGGAGTGTCTTGTTCTAACACCCCCTCTGCTGGGTGTGTGTTGACAGATCTACCAGTACATACAGAGCAGGTTCTACCGCTCCCCTGAGGTCCTCCTGGGAATGCCGTATGACCTGGCTATCGACATGTGGTCTCTGGGGTGCATCCTGGTGGAGATGCACACAGGGGAGCCCCTTTTCAGTGGCTCCAACGAGGTAAAGGCAGCACCACAGCATTTTCACACTCACCCCAACTCACTCAGAGTGGCAGAATATGAGGGTGGGGGCAGCCCTAACTGGCATCCAGTCTGAGTCTGAGTCCAGGGTCCATGCTGTTTCTTTGTGTGTCGACAGGTTGACCAGATGAATAAGATTGTGGAGGTTCTGGGGGTTCCACCCAGCCACATGCTGGACGCAGCACCTAAAGCCAGAAAGTATTTTGACAAGCTGTCGGATGGTCTGTGGACAGTAAAGAAGAACAAGGATGTTAAGAAGGTATGTGTCCAGCTTCAGCCCTTCCCCTCACACGGTGGCAACACTGCTTTCCACCAGCATGAGTGATCATCAGCGCACTGCATTGTGGGACATCAGAGGAGAGCAGAGAGCTTGTGCTTCCCTAACTGCCCTCTCCTCATGGCCTCAGTGGTGACCAAAGCAGCCCCACAGCAGCTGCAGCTGCTCTGAAGCAGGCGTATGCACCACAACACACACAGGCCAGGGGGGGGCAGCTCTCAGCTCTGGGGGGGCCAGCCCCGCTTCCTCACAGGGCCCCACAGCACTGGCCCCCCAGCACTGGCCCCACAGCACTGGCCC